ACGCTGAGTCACAATGACGGTTACGAAAACTGCCTACCAATGCATGCCTTTCGGCAACATGCGTATGCGTGCACGTGTAAACGTATGTGAACGAGTTTCTTGTAGAGGCCAACGTGATCTCGAAAATGCGTGAGCGGGAAAAAATTGGTGGAGTGTTGCAGAAGAGGTTTTTATTGTATATACTTGACACTGCTGAGTACCGCCGTAGGACAACGTACGTGGAAGCCTTAAAGCACCCTGCTGCATTGCCGCCATTGTTCGTTCATCCTGTTCCTGTTTCACTCCAGTCAGCGCACACACCGTACTACGAAGTCACGTGCAGGCCACTGTCCTTACCCTTTGTCCGTTTCGCTTCTGTCGCTCATCGTTCGGTGCAACCAGTCCAGGACAACAATTGGCACACGTCTCCTCGAAAGTCGGAAGTTTGGCGCACACCTGATCGCTGGCCTTGATGCTTTCCATGCGGAGAAGCTGTCACTTGTACTGCCAGTGCCCATATAGTCGCCTTGGGGTTCGCGACTTCTTTGCGTACTCACCGCCACGCCGCTACGGCCATAGACCATGCGACATCGAGAACTGTCTCTCCCAGCAGCATGCATCACCGTCTGCCAGGCGCCAGCATGCTCGCCATCACCGAGGCGAATTTCATCACCACCGCAGCGGTATTCTATCGCACTGTCTCCCAGACCCCGCCGGGACAACTAACCAAAGCGACCTCCGGGGGCGGGGTCGCTGAATGTCGAAGCGCTGAAGACCTCGTATTCACGCATAACCATGCAGAAACTGGTCCGACATCACCCGCTGCATCACGTGATAACCGGGTTTCACTCGACATAGCAGTGACAATTGGTGGTTGTGCAGTTAATGCGTTAGTGGACACCAGCGCAGACTATATAATTGTGAACGGGAAACTGACAACGAAGCTGAAGATAATAATTGCGCCGTGGCATACCTCGCAGGATCGGACAGCTGGTGGTCACGTCGTTACTCCACTGGGTGCCTATGCACTTGCAGTGCAGTATAAAGGGTATACATTTGTAACAAGCGGTCTTGTTCTAAGCGAGATCTCACGTGAAGTCATTCTTGGAGGTTATTTTCAACAGGAAAAATGGCACTATCATTGATCTGCAAGAGTGCCACGTCACATTCTCTATTTAGCGAGCAATCAACGTGTAGGATAACGAAAGGTGTGTGGACGTACTACTTATTTCTGAACAGAGCGTGTCGGTTCCTCTACGAGCAAGTCTTCTAGGCGACATCACATGCTATAGTTTGGACCATGGCGAAATGGTGGCCGAGACAAACTTAGAACTCCTCCTGCAGCGAAGCATTTCTCTAGCTGGAAGTGTAAGTCACCTTCGTGATGGCCGATCCGAATTGCTCGTTACCAACTTCAGCAACGAGTATCGAAACCTTTTCCGTGGCACTTCGATAGCGTTTCCCCACGAAGTAGCAAGTGTCACCAGCTGTCTCACGTCAGAATTACTGGATACTGCAGACACGTCAATGAGTAATATTCACATCAATCCTGATCTGTGCACCGATAACAAGACTGCGCTACTAGTGCTCTTGTTCGAGTTCTGGTCTTGCTTTGCAAGGTCCGTAAAGATCCACCAGATGTCCCTCGCTCAACACAGAATAATCACGTGCGAAGACACGCCCGATACACCAGCACCCTTACCGCGTGTCGGCTAACAAACGTGAAGCGATACGCACGCAAGTCCGCTAGATGCTTGACGTCGGAAATTATGAACCTTCCAACAGCCCGTGGTCTTAGCCAGTCGTCCTTGTCAAAAAGATGGACGGGTCGCTAAGCTTCTTCGTCGACTGCCGAAAGCTTAGCAACGTGACCTAAAAGATGTGTACCCGATGCCACGTATCGACGAATCACTGGATAGGCTTCGTCGTTCCGATTTTTTCACTTCTCTCGATCTCGAAAGCGGGTTCTGGAATATTGAGGTAGGTCAGCGAGACCGCGAGAAAACAGCCTTCGTGACTACAGACGGCCTATATCTGTTTCGAGCACTTCCTTTTGGCTTGTATTGAGCACCGGCAACTTTCCAGCGAATGATGGAGACCGTCCTCACAGGGCTCAAGTGGCAGACTTTTCTAATCTACCTTGGTTATGTGGTGGTCTTTTCTGCCACATGCGAGAAGACCTATCACTGCCTGCGCATTGTGCTGGAGGCTATCCGATCGGCAAACCTCACACTAAGGCCACAGAAGTGCCCCTGCGGCTATGAGCAACTCAAATTTCTTGGATATGTAGTTAGCGCAGAAGAGGTCCGGCCCTATCCAGACAATTACGCTCAACAAACAGAAAGTGAAACTAAAACAAGTTTGCCGCTGTTGCCAAATTACCAGCTCCTGCTGATAAGAAAGCCATCCAGCGCTTTCTTGGTTTGTGCGCCTACTATCACCGGTTCATTCATGGCCTTTCACAGATCGCAGAGCCCCTGACTCGTCTCACAAGGCACGACACGCCGTTTGTCTGGGGAAACCAACAACAAGCCGTAATTGATGAGCTGCGACAGCGCATGCAATAAGCTCCAGTTCTTGCTCATTTCGATGATGATGCTGACACGGAAGTTCATACTGACGCTAGTAAGATTGGTTTCGGTGCAGTGCTCGTTCAGCGTCAAGATGACATCGAAAAAGTGATAACCTACGCCAATCGCTCTCTAACCCGAGCCGGGGTGAATTATTCTACTACGGAGAAAGAGTACCTCGTAGTCGTGTGGGCAATCACGAAGTATCTCCCTTACCTCTATGGTCGTCCCTTCAAGACGAATTCATTGATGGATTCATGTGGCTGTACCTTTTATATCAGGTGGCAGCTAACGCCATCTAGCTGTACGGATGGATGGATGGATGAATGGATGGATGGATGGATGGATGGTTGGATGGATGGATGGATGGATGGATGAATGAATAGATGGATGGATGGATGGATGGATGGATGGATGCATGGATGGATGGATGTGGCTGTACCCTGAAACGGGCGGCGGCTAACACCACCTAGCCTTAATAGTGAACTAAACATTAAATATATCTTTTTTTCATTTAAATAGGGAAGTTGAGGATTGGTACTTTGCAGTGAAATGTTTTATTTTCACTCGTGCCTTGACTTTAGCCACCAATGAGATAGTTTTCTTTTAGTTAACTCTACCCGCCTAAAGTCTATTTTGCCCTCCCAGTCTTTAAACCCCAGTGCTTTGAAAAACTCTGCCCCATCATTCTGAACTATAGGGTGAAGCCCTTCACAGCACATAATCAAGTGTTCGGCAGTTTCTTCCTCCTCTCTACATGCACGGCATACCGCGTCTACCCCTTCGTATTTTGCCCAATATGTCTTGGTTTACTATACTCCCATCCTGGCCTCAAACAGCAGAGAACTACCCCGAGTATTATCATAGATCTTTTCCTTGGAAATTTCCTGCTTAAGTGTTCGATAGATCTCTAGGGCGGACTTCTTAATCATGCCAATTCTCCACATCTCAGTGTGCGTTTCCTTAACTTTCTTCTTAACCGATAGTTCTTTTTGGTTTGACCGCCTGCTGTTTTCTAAGTATTTACCAGTCAATTACCTGGTTCGTTTACTCCATTTTGTACGCATTCATATGTACAAGTAGCTGAAAAAATTCCTAGCCCAACGCTCCTCCCCTATTTCTCTGAATCGCTTCTCAAATTGTATTTTGCTGCTAGCTTACCTGCCCTCAAATGATGTCCATCCTATATGACCTTGTACTCCCCGATTTGGCATATTCCCGTGAGGTCCTAAAGCAAGCCTACCTATTCAGCGTTGCTTAATTTCAAATATTGCTTGAACTTCTGATCTCACGCACAAGACCGCATTCCCGAACGTCAGCCCAGGAACCATGACCCCTTTCCATATTCTTCTCACAACGTCATACTTATTGTAATTCCAGAGTGCCCCATTTTTGATCACTGCTGCATTCCTGTTACCTTTAGCCGTCACGTATATTTCTTGTTCCTTTAGGTACTCGGTCCCATTGCTTATCCAAACGCCCAGATATTTGTAATTATCTGTTATCTCTAGCGTGACTTCCTGTATCCTAAGCTCACAACCTTCATTATCATTAAAAATCATGACTGCTGATTTTTCCTTACTGAATCTGAAATCTTGCCTATCTCCCTCATTACCGCAGCTATCCATCAATCTCTGCAAATCTTCCTTGTTGTCGGCGGTAAGCCCTATATCATCTGCGTACATTAATGCTGGTAGTGCCTGATCAATAAATTTTCCTTGTTTGACGAAAGACAGGTAGATAGTGACGAACCACCACGCCCTCGGTTGGTTGGCGATTCTGTGTGAGCATCGAAGTGGTGTGCTGTACATTTCTTTCAATAATTTTGTACTTTTTCCTTCTTTTCGAAAAGAGGGATTTTGCCCCCGGCACGTAGTGGGTTGACGGGAAGAGCGGCTCTAAACCTAGAAGAAAAAAAGAAGATGGCGTGCTTTTCTGCTCGAGAGACAGCAGCGGCTGATGCGTTATCTAAGAGCTTGCTATTCGGTGGTTTATTGAACCACAGTTTCAAAAACCCTTCGAAGCATCGACAATGGCGCCGCCACAGAACCGCAAGCGGCCTACCAACGACATCTAACAGTGGGCCCCAAAACGACGCTGCACTGGCAACAACCCAGCGTCGCCCGGTGCGCGCTGAACGTGGCCGTGAAGGTGCGCCCTCTGAGCGAGCGTGAGTCTAAGACGTCCAGCATCAATCGCGTCGTTGACCACAAGTACCTGGTGTTTGAAAACAAGGCCGAAGTAGAGCCCTCCTGCTCTCAAGGGCAGCGGGCATGCGGGGGCCTCGTCAAGCCAAACCGAAGATTTATGTTTGATCACGTTGTTGGTGAATATAGAAAAGATAAGTGCATATTTGAGCACACAACCAAGGAGATGCTGACGACGCTTCTTGGTGGCTGCAATTGCTCCGTTTCCACGTATGATGCAACCGGAGCCGGCTAGACGTTCACGATGTTGGGCTCCGAGGAGTGTCCCGGAGTGGTCTCCCTGATGGCCATCGAGCTCTACCGGCACGTTGACAAGAACCGCATCGAGGGCCACTCGTGCGACGTGGCTGTCGCATACCTGGAATTCTACAACGAGGTGGTACGCAACCTCCAGTGCACAAACGGACCATCTCTGGTCGTGCGCGACGACCCGGACAAGGGCATCGCCATCTCAAACTCTTGAAAACACAAGGTGAAAGAATCGGGTGAACTGTTAGAGCTGCTCCTGAAAGGCAACAGGAAAAGGTCACAGCACGCCACCGATGGCAACTCGGAGTGATCGCGGTCCCACGCAATTTTACAGGTTTACGTCGTGAAGACGGAGAACCTGACCAGCACAAGCAAGGGAATTAGCGTCTCCAAGGTGAGCTTTGGCGATTCTCAGGCTTGGAGCGTGCCACTGCGGTGAACGCAAACGTCAAGGACTTTATACGCGAGGGCACCAAGATCAACTTATCACTGCTTGATCTAAGCAACTGCATGCCCTCTCCAAGAGTGGAGCTCAGTGGGTGCCGTACCAGGATTCGAAGCTGGCGCACATACTGAAGGACTGTTTGAGTGGCACGTGTGGCACCCTAATGATTGCGGCTGTGTCGCCGTCCAAGCTCAGCTACAACGACACCCACAACACTCTCAAGTACGCCGAGCAGGACATGAAGATCAAGCAGCAGGCAAAGAAACACGTCCTCAACGTCAACGTACTCAAGCCGATGTACAGATCATTTATAGAGGAGTACAAGGAAAAGGAGGAAGGCCTTCAGCGCAAGCTCGACTAGGTCAAGAACGAGAAGTCTGAGCTCGAGGCCCAGGTCGTCGAGTTCTAACAGAGCCTCACGGCAGTCAAACAAGATGCCCTGCTGCAAGTGCCACACACTGACACCGGCAGCACAACCAAGGCTTCGCATAACGCTGCTCTGTCAACGACGTTGGTCATGTCTCCGAACGTCGCGGCGAATGAGCCCAGCAACAACAGCAGGGCGCCCTACAGCCTTGATGCGGCGAGAAAGATCTATGCTGTGCGAGCGAAGATCAATAGGCAGATCTGTGAAAACGAGACCATCATTCGGACCAGTGTTGTGAAGGAGAACTGGAAGCAGCAGATTGCGAAGACTGTCAAGGCACTCCAGGACTGCAGTGAAGACAACTTGAAGAAGTACGAGTGTCTTGATCACTTTTGCAGTCTCAAGCAGCCAAACGGCTTGCTGCAAAGGAAATGTTGAGGCTCTTCACAACAAACGAAAGCAAAGCTTTAAGTGCAGCAAAGACCTCCTGGATGAGGCTTCCGCTGCCGGTGGCTAGAAAGCTGTGCAATTGGAGATCACTATTCTGGAGCTGGTGGTGGAGCGAACGGAGATGCAAGTTGAGCGACAGATGTTCGCCAAGCTCACCGAACTTCTGTGTCGGAAGAGCAGCCAATGGGAGGACCAGAACAGTGTTACAGTTCCCCATCTGCGCAGCCGTTACATAATCCTGGAGGCCAAGAACTGCTGCAGCTCGGACCAAAGGGATGCCCACGGAACCATTATCAAAAATTCCAAGGGTCCCGATGTCACATGGGTGGATGAAGAGAACGAGAGCTCAAAAGGTCAACTGGATCTCGCAAGTCTGCTCCATGCTCCCGATTGGCGACTGGCCACCACATTGCAGTCACAACAGCCTTTATGTGCTCGAGAATCATGGCGCACACTATTTTCGCGTGTCGCGCTTGATAATAAAAATTGACTTTGTCTTTCTTTGAAAATAGCGTTCACATGCATTATCATGCAGCAGGCTGGCTACGGAGTATCACTGTGCTATAGCAATATCGTTCGAAACATATCTGGCATGTTGAATGATTTAAGCACCGTGTTGATTATTATTTTTTTACCTTCTGTCCTGGCATTTTGCTCATTATGAATCACTTATTTATGCATCACTATAATGATAAAGTCTTATTTAACGCCTACTCACACTGTTTTGTACTTGTCTGCTCTATTGGACCTGTTCCTATCCCCTGGCTGGTGAGCGTGTGCACGTTTTCTCGGCAGAAAAAAAAAGACACCAATTGAAAAGAAAACACTATTGTTAATGAAGCGAGTTATTTTCATCTGTGGAATATAAATCAGTCTACGGAACAAAGGGTTCAGCGCACGTGACTTTCTTTCTCGCTTCTTTTGGTTGGCTTCGTTTATAAATGAATTTATTTATTTATCTAGAATACCTCAAGGGCCCCAGTCAAGGGGTGTTACATGAGGAGGTAGACAGTTCACAAACAGTTGATTTGTTCGATGGCTTCTTTGAAATGGGTGATGCTGCAGTGGTGCACGATGTCAGCAGGAAGATCGTTCCATTCTGTTGATTTTTGCACAAAAAATGAAGAGTGATGGGCAGTGGTATGCGCACGGGGTGGATAAACCGCTTTCGAATGGCTGATACGGCTTGAATGACGGTGGGCTGGAACGATAACATGGTTTAGATGCAATGCATTATAAAATGTGTGAAACAAACACATTCTTGAAATTCTGCGGCGTGAAGGTAAGTTAACCAAGTTAGCTTGAGATTTTAGTTTGGTGACGCTGCTAAGATAGGAATAGTCAGAATAAATGAATCTGGTTGCACGATTTTGGATAGTTTCAAGCGTTTTAATAAGAGTTATTTGATGGGGATCCCAGATGGCACATGCGTATTCTAGCTTCGGGCGGACTAGTGTTAGATAGGTTAAAAGTTTAACAGAAGGTGGGGCTAGACGTAAGTTTCTTCGGAGATAGCCAAGCACGCGGTTGGCGTCATTAGTGATGTTCATAATGTGGGATGACCAGGTCAGATCTGAAGTTATAGGTTGATACCGAGGTATTTACATGAATTAGCTGTTGTTATTTCAGAATCAAATAGAAAGCATTTATTGGAGGAATAGGATTGACGGCGATGGAAGGAAATGACACAAGTTTCCTTTATGTTAAGGGACATCAGCCATTTTTCGCACCATGATTGAAGCAAACGAAGATCAGACTGTAGGATGGCAGGGTCGTTAGAATTGTGAAAAGGACGATAAATGACACAGTCGTCTGCGAACAGAAAAATGTTAGACGCTAAGTTATTGGGGAGGTCGTTAGTATAGATAAGGAATAGTAGAGGACCAAGGACCATGCCTTGAGGTACGCCGGAGGTTACAGCGGATAGGGAGGAGCGATGGTTATTAACACAAACGAACTGTTTACGGTTAGTCAAGAAGTCACATATCCAATTAAAAACGAGGCAATTAAGGTTAAGACGTGAAAGCTTCAAAAATAATCTGTTATGAGAAACATTGTCAAAGGATTTTTCGAAATCAATGAAAATGGCGTCTACTGGTATGTTATTATCCAGGCTAGAACTCAGGTCGTTAACGAACAGGGTGAGTTGAGTGTCACATGAAAGTCCGTTTTGAAAACCGTGTTGGTTAGGGTGAAAGAAATGTACTGAACGTAGAAAAATTACTATGTGGGAATAAATTATGTGTTCCATTATTTAGAACATACACTTGTGATGAATATGGGGCGATAATTACTCGGTGAAGATGAAAGACCTTTTTTCGGGACAGGAACGATCTTACCAAGCTTCCAGTCTTCCAGCACTACTTCGCATAAAATGGACTGCTGAAATATGTGCGAAAGAATATTGCTTCTTATAGGCTTAGTGTTTTTCAGAATTTCGGAATTGATGCCATTCATTCCCGTGGATGACGTTAGTTTCAATTCGTCAGTTAGTTTTGCAATACCGTATGAATCGAATGTAATGCCTGGCATGACAGGATGATCAAGAAATGGGGAGTCTGGAAGCGGGCTGCAAGATTCAGGGGTAAATACGGAAGAGAAGGCAGTATTTAGTACTTCAGGAGTAACATGTTCTGGAATAGGATCGCCGTGTTCATCAAGTAAGGATAACGTTTTAGTGGGGTTGGGGTTAATGGCTCTCCAAAATTGTTTAGGGTTATTTCGTAGCATATTAGGTAATGTAGAAGAGAAAAAAAGAACGCTTAGCCTTCGCAGCGAGTGATTCAAGTTCCTTTGCTGTTCCGCGGTACTTGTTCGAAGCGCTCGCGCTGTTGGACAGTTTAGCCGAGCGATATAATCGCTTTTTCTTATTGTTAAGACGCTTAAGAGATATGTTGAACCAAGGTGAAGACGCCAGTTCCGTAATTGTAATTGTGGGTATCAATCTACTAATTAAATCATGGATTTTGCACTTGAACAAAGACCAGTTAGTTTCAAGGAGGCGTTGGAAGAAGTCGATTAAATACCATTCACAAAATATGGATAGTTCGTTGTTAATGGCAGCATAGTTACCCTTATCGTAGAGTGTGAGGGTTTTCTTGGAATGGCTTTTGCCTGGTAGTTGATTAGAAAACGAAGCATGAAGCACAGCGTGATCACTAATCTCTGGGAGAGGAACTAGGGATGCAAGATTGTCGGGGTGTGACGTGAAAATGAGGTCGAGAATATTTGAAGAGTGCTCAGTAGCTCGCGTTGGGAATGAAACAAGTAGAGATAAACCAAATGTTAGGCACGTGTCGACAAAGTCGCTTTCCATAGTGTGTTTAGATATCGTGAGCGCGAGGTTAGACCAGATTATTCCTGGGAAGTTAAAGTCACCCATTAAAATAACCGGTATGTTAGGATAAGAGGCATTCAGAAAGTTAAGAGCACTGTGGAAATTAGTGATAAATGAAGCATCTGCGTCAGGGGGGGGGCGGTAACAGACTCCGATGATAACCGGAGGATATGAATTTCTGCAGCACACAAATAGTAATTCAAGGCTGGAAGGGATGACCACTGGGGAGCAATTTATTCGACTGTGAGCAGCTATCAGGACGCCACCACCACGCTTACCATCACGATCTCGCCGAAATATAGTAAAGCCAGGAAAGCATGGTGCTAATTCGGAATCGCTTATTGAAGGGTTTAGCCACGTTTCATTTAAGAGAACAAAGTTGCATTCTGTCGTGCAGATAAGATTAAAGAGCGAGTCGCGTTTCGGCAAGAGGCTTCTAATGTTAGTGTGTACAATTGACAAAAGTTCAGGGTTTAATTTAGAATTCGCTGAGGTGGGAGGTGGTAGCTATGGGTGGAGGGGGATTACTTTTCCAGAAGAGCGATCGAAAACGTAAGTGGTGTCATCAATGGTTAGTTTGTTGTACCGAAGTGTATAGGCCTTGCGAGATGCTTTACCAAATTCAATGAGGTGCTTATGGGCCTTGCGTGTGTTGGGGGAAAGATCTTCGCTAATGCTGTAATTGGTGTCTTTTAGTTTTTGGCATTGGACAGCACGAGTTCTCGATCCTTGAAATGGCAGAACCGGACAATGATGGGTCTATTTTTACTTGGTTGAAAACACCCTATGCGGTGAGCGCGTTCAATGTCTCTAGGCTGGACTGAAACTTGATTGATTGATATGTGTGGTTTAACGTCCCAAAACCACTTCATGATTATGAGAGACGCCGTAGGGCTCCGGAAATTTCGACCACCTGGGGTTCTTTAACGTGCACCCAAATCTGAGTACACGGGCCTACAACATTTCCGCCTCCATCGGAAATGCAGCCGCCGCAGCCGGGATTCGAACCCGCGCCATGCGACTGAAACTTCCAGATTGGCAAGACATAGATCCATGACGCTCTTCTCAGACTGTGCCCAAGTCTCGTCACTGGCATCTTCAAAACCGTAAGAGACAAGGTTGCATCGTCGCAGTCTGTTCTCAGAGTCGTCCATCCTGGTGACAAGGCTAGCGATATCACCACAGTTTTGCTCAGTTAGTGTTTGTA